CCGGGAACACCTGGATCTGCACATGAAGTGCAGGGTGCAGTATAAGTATAACCGACTTAGCAAGTAACAATACTGAATAAAGAACTGAAAGTAGTGACTAGCTTCACAGCTGAGTCCAATTACAGACTTACAGTAATTTCCAATATAACAAGGTAGACATGCTTTCAAGTTCAATATTTAAGGCCAAAACAGTAATTTCATGTCATGTTCAATTGAAACATAAGATAATCTGTCAGAAATTTTTTACATAGTGATATATGATAGCTGAAGTGCAACAATAATGAAATCAAATGCATCCTCTTAGGGCCACAGTCACTCAGCCCTTTCACTAGCTCAGCACTCGCACTCAGTAGGTACCTGCGCTCACTAGGGGTGTGTACAGACTCCGGAGGGGCTCCTTCAGCCCAAGCGCTATAATCCGCACGGACAACTCACGTGCTGCACGAACAACTCACGTGCAATAGTATCAATATCTGGATCCGCACGGACAACTCGCGTGCTGCACAGACAACTCACGTGCTATAGTATAATATCTGGATCTGCACGGACAACTCACATGCTGTACGGACAACTCACGTGCTATAGTATAATATATGGATCCGCACGGACAACTCACGTGTTGTACGGATAACTCACGTGCTATAGTATAATATCTCACAATCAGGCCCTCAACCTCACTCAGTCACAAATCTCTCCAGTCTCTCGGGCTCTCAAAAATCATGAAAATCAACCCAAACAACAATGATATGATGCATCAATAATGAACAATAGAGACTGATAAAATAAATAAGTAAACTGTGATTGAGTACAAAACAATAATTTAGCAGATAGTTCAACATGTGCACGACATCTGTGGGTTCCTAGAGTGCCAACACATAATCTAAACATGATTTGTGGTTTAATTTCTCTATTACATGGAGGATGTACAAATAACAACATATTATTCAACTACACAGTTCTATGGAATTTGACCAAGTCATAATTCCTATGGTGCACGCCCACACGCCTGTCACCTAGCATGTGTGTCACCTCAAAACCGATCACATAACACATAATTCGGGGTTTCATACCCTTAGGACCAAATTTAGAACTGTTACTTACCTCGATCCGAGAAATTCTTTATTCCAACAAGACTTTGCCTCGCGAATCAACCTCCGAACACCTCGAATCTTGTCACAATTAATTCGATTCAGTCAATACGAATTATAGGAATTAATTCTATATGACAATATAAATTTTTCTAATAAAATCCGAAATTACACTCAAAAATTGCTCGTGGAGCCCATGCCTCGGAACCCGATAAAAATTATAAACTATGAATGCCCATCCAACCACGAGTCCAACCATACAAATTTTACCAAATTCCGACATCAACTCGACCCTCAAATCTTCAATTAAAATCTTTGAAGATTTCTACCATTTTCAACCCAGTATTTACCCATTTGAACTCAACAATCTTTCCACAAACCTTATTGGTACGTTTATATATAAATAATACTCTTTCACCCAAGAATCATACTCCCAATCACCCATCATTATCCAAACTCGAAATTGAAGACTAGTGTTAGAAATTCTTACCTCTTTGAAGCCCTAGCAAGATACTTGTAAAATCTTCAAACCTTGAACAAGAATTGATAGACAAATGGCCAGGTCTTCACTTTCTCTCTCTAAGATCCTCTCACCTCTCTCTAAAATATCATATGAAACCCTTCAAAACAACCCCTAATAGTGTTTTATAAGAATGGGGTCGGGTTTATAAAACCAGAAAAATGAAGCCCCGAAACACACTCTGCTGTCGCATATGCGACAGCATAATGCTCCTGCGGCCCGCATAATGGGTCGTAAAAAGGCCCTCATGCGCAACACTGACTCAGTCTGCGATCATTATGCGGCCCGCAGACATGTTCTACGATAGCATAATGCACCGCAGAACTGTTCTGCGGTCGCATAATGCGCCGTAACCTTGCTCTACAAACTTGGCCTAGCCTGCTTCACTCTGCAGCCATTATGCGGTCCGCAGAGTGATTCTGCAGTCGCATAGTGGGCCGCAGAAATATATTTTTCTGCCTAAAATTTTCCTTTACTCACTCGCAAAACCTTAATTTCCTTAGCAAAAAGTTTTCCAAGATTGTTATACATAAGTCAACATCCGGTCACCCTTTTCAAGTTAAGTTCTAAACCTTGGAACTAAGTGTTACAAATCATTTCAAAATATCACCGGATCCGAACCAATTACCCCGGCAAGTCAAATAACAACCGAAAAGCACAATTTGAACTGTAAATGGGAAGACGTGGTTGTAATACTCGAAACAACCGGCCAGGTCGTTACACTAAGAAGTCATTGGTTGCATGAGAGAAACTATATACTCTTAAGTCTATAGGAGGCTTGAACTTAGTCAACCTCCAATTGTGGAACAAAGCTGCCATTGCAAAAGTGTGTTGGGACCTTGCAAATAAACAAGACAGACTCTGAATCAAATGGATTCATACCTACTACATCAAAGGCCAACAACTTATACAAATGACAATGCCTCAGCAAGCATGTTGGATGATTCGACAAATACTTAATGCTAGAAGCGCTTTGAGTTAAATACAAGGACTTAATGGAAGAAAGAGCATCATCAGGTGCACATATCTACAACTCCTGGGTGATAGACCTCGAGTTGCTTGAAAATGTTTAATGTTTCAGAACACTGCTAGGCCTAAAGTTCAGTTCACTATATGGATGGTACAGCAAGGGAAGCTCCTCACTACAGGCAGGCTACGAAACTGGGGAATGAATGTGGATTTACATTGCATACTATGTCATGGACACGAGGAAAGCAGAGAACATTTGTTTGTTAGGTGTGCCTTCACTTAGAACATATGGAACAAAATTGGATGCTGGATGAAACAGGACTATAGAGTGACAACAACCTAGGATCAACACCTACAATGGATCCTACAGAATGTCAAAGGGAGAACTCAGAGAGCAAAAATCTTTCGGATGGTCTATGCAGAAGTCTCACATGCCATTTGGATAGAAAGGAATATGGGGATTTTTGAAAAGAATAGTAAGGATTGGACTACCATTGACGAGAGATAGCCTACAATTGCACCATTAGAGCTGCTGCTGATGTACATAGATTAGTACAAAATTTTATTTTCTGATTATGTTGTATACATGCATATGTAGGTTGAGTTTTCTTTTTCTTTGGAGGTTGTCAAAGATAGCGAGTTGTGTGAGCAAGCTATGGATTTGTACAGTTTACTGGTGATTAATATAAAGATCAGTTAATTATCAAAAAAATAAATAATATAATAGCAAAAATAAGGAACAAATAGAGAAAAAATAAAAAATAAATTTTTTTATCATACAGAAAAAAGAAGGATAAAACTTATTTAACTTTGAGATGGAAAACTTTTTTAACTATTATGATAAGAAAGGTCATATATTAAAATTTTAGTCTAACTCAAGGTTAAAATTTAAAATAAAATATCTTATTATTGTAATTATAGGTAAAACGTTAACGTAAAAGAACTAATTAAAATTTCATAGTAGGTAAGAGAATGGATAAAGAGAAAAATAGAGATAGTGTAAGGATACTTATACTTTGAATTAATTTTAAAAAATAAATCAAATAATACTTAAATATATTATTGATAGATGTAAATGATAAATGAGTTCCGAGTAAGAGGATAAAAACGTAAAATATTAAATTTTAAGAATAAAAAATATATATTTATCGATGATTATTAAGAGGGTAATAAGCGAAATATTAAATTAATTGGTAAGCTAATAAAAGATCACATGACAATACAACAATATTAAGTAATGAATAATACAATAAATATAAGCAAAGAACAAAAATTTAAAAAAATATAGAAGAATAAGATTTATTTCATTTTGAGATGAAAAACAAAGATAGTAAGAATTTTATTAAAATAATATGATCTAATATGCTGGAACAAGACAGATCACAACATGACATGTTTAGTACTCCCTCCGATCCATAATAAGTGACCTTTTGGCATTTTTATTTTGGTCCAAAATAAGTATCATTTTATATAATCAAGAAGGAATTAATTTTTTTTTTTAAAATTTGTCCTTATTTACGTATCACAATGTATCAAGGTAATAATTAATTAAAGATAATTTAGTGAATACATTTTTTTCTCTCTAGGAGTTCGTATTTTCTTAAGGGGAGTGACAAATGCTAAAAAGTCAATAACAACGAAATAAAATGCAAGTACTAAAATCAAGGGGTTAATTATTACAAATATAAAAAAATAGATTGTCTACTACGAGATTTGAGAATAGTTTTATGTGCTATTTCTTAATTAATATTTATTGATTATATAAAATTTTAATCTGGAAGATTTATATTTTAAAGTTATTTGCACATAATTCAAATAACCCAAATTAAAATTTGACATAATTTATGTTCGCCCATCGCGCGAGTACTAATACTAGTTAATGTTAAATACAAACTTGCCTTGAAGTAAATTGAGATGAACTTAAAATCAAATTATAAAATATGATCAAATTAGATATAATTTGATGTCAAAATTCCAAAACAAACCCTAATTGCATAGAAGAAATGAATAATATGGAGTTTATAACTCAAGAAAATAAACCCTTCTGACAACACCAGATGAATAGGTCAAAATATTCTTTTATTTTCTTATTTTGCAATCAAAGAGTATTTAGCTAGTGTAATTTGGAAAGAAATATATTATAAATTTTAAATAAAAGGAAGATTTTTTTTGAAAATTGGGCAAAATACTGGCCGATTGACTGAAATTATTATATTATTAAAAAATATATAAAATATACATATTATATACAAAAAAAAATTATTTTATCGATTATTATTATTTTTAAAGCGACTAAAAATATGTACATTTCTTAAAATTTGCAATAAGTCCCATTGGGCTCTTATATGGGCAAGGACCCACGAAATAATTGTCCAAAATAAAGTAGCTAACCATTGATGACCAAGACACAGCCAACATATATGGGCCGTCAACAATCTCCCAACGCGCCACCCTCTTCGCCGCCGTTGCCACCGCCGGTTCACCAGGACGATGCCGACGAAGATGATGAAACCGTGAAGCAGCTCAACCAATGCTCTTCTCTCTACTTATCTTTACAGGTTCTTTAAGCTTTTAAGCTTTTTGAAAATAATTATATTAAATTCTTAAACCCTAAACCCTGAAATGGAACTGATCAAAGGGTTTATATTTGCAGGATTGTCTGATTAATACTGATCGGAACTGGAAGTCTTGTCAAAAAGGTATCTTCTATTTTTTTTCCCTCTCTATTTTGCTTGAAATTTAGTTCTTTCCCATTAGTGTCAAATGGGTATTTTCTTTAAATTTTTGGTTGATGAATACGAGTTTAGTATTTAGAAAGAGAAAAAAGGTGCATTATTTAAATTGGAATTCAAAATTTAGGAATCTTTTAGTGGTTTGCATAATTGCATTTGCTCTCTTCGTTGTTATATATAGCTTCTGCTTTAGGGGATCAACTGAGATTAGTTTCGATTAGATTATTATAAAGAACATGATCAAAACGAGAAACAAGGGTCATGATAATTTTTATTCAAATTATAGAACCTATGTGCCTTATATGGAGTGACATGAATACTTAGGATTATTATAGCATGTGCAGTAGTATTATTTTTTTGTTTTTGATTCCTCTCCCCTTTGATTCCCTTTTGATCCCTTTTTTGGAGCTATTGTTCCTTTGGTGATTAGAACCCACGACCTTGGAGTTGTAGGTGGGATGCTGACCATGTGGGTAAACCCCTCTTGTCGTGCAATAGTAGTATTAGTGGTTGTATGGAACCTATGTATATTAGTACACAGTGGCGGAACCAGGAAGGGAATTCAAAAAATGCTAGAATGCAACTTTTACCACTTGTCAAGGAGATTCAATAATGTATAGATATACAAAAAAAATTATTTTACCTTTTTTTTCTGAAAACTGTGTCTGTATCAGCTTGCACCTACTGCCTCTCACCAGCATAGGTACCATGTAACTCTATCCATCAAATGTTCGACTAATTGAAAGAAATCACCTAGTTTGAACGTAGGACCTCATGGTTCTTAACATACTTTATTGACTACTAGATCACACCCTTGGATGTTATTCTTACCCTCTTTACGCAGTATAATCTTTAAACGAAAGGGATGCAATTAAACTCCCTTCCTAATACCTGTTAGTCTATGTTGTTTGGACTCTTCAAAAATGTTGATGGGTGCCTGTCGGATCCGACACAGGCGCGACACAGGCGCGGCAGCATCTTTGGAGAGTCCATGCAATATAACTATTAGTACAATATCCAAGTGAAATGGAATATTGACAAATCGTATAAGCAGCGGATTGAAACATAGTATAGCGGGATCTCTAAGTCAGAATCACATGTGCATGTTTTCATCCGGCCTATGATTCAGTATGACAGAAGGGGCAGAACTGCACACTTTCGTGTTCAGATGTGTTTTGTATATACATGTGTACTGAGATTCTCTTGTTTATAATATTAGTTTCATTAACACGGCCCGGGAAATTTAAAAAATACATACAACTGGTGCTCAATTGTTTATTGCTTTCTAATTATTTGAAAAACTGCTTACAGAAGTTCAGGCTCTAAAGGCATGTAATGAAAGAAGACAGAAGGACAAGAGGAGTTAGAGGAAGCATTTTGGTTTTCGTTGCTGAGGCAGTTTTCTGACGTTGGAGGCTTACAGTTCTTTTTCTGTGATTTGGGGGCTAACAAAAATCCACAGTGATGACTAATTCTTGTTTACTATTGATAAACATTGAGATGAGTATGACTTTAAAGTATAAGACATGTCCATTCTTGGAATAGCTGAAAATGTGTCTATTATATGATGGAATTAATAAACATGAGTATGACTTTAAACTGTAAAGTTATGTTTATTATCTTTTTGTATCATATGTTTATTACACTATTAGTTTGGTTTCTGGAAATGGTGCCAGTTTGCTAACTTTTTCTGAATGGAAAATGGAGAATCTAAGAATTTGTCGGGGAGCGAGTAAAGAAAGGTGCATACACAAATCTATTCTAAGCACAGGAGTTAAAAATATATAAACAGATTAGTAGAGAAAGTTGCTGATACGAAAGAACCAATATAATTATGTAACTTTATTTATACTTTTATTAGTAAATATTAAGTTTATTGGTAGCATGTTGAAACAATTTTCTAAAAGGATGACTTTATAAAATTGGTACTATCACAAAAGTAATTTTGATGCTTTTTGGATAAAAGCAACCATTGACTTCATCCTTGGTCTTTTTCCCTTGTGCTCTCACTATCCAAGTGGCTTCCTTCTTTACTTTCTCAATAAGCAATTGGATGACCATTACATGAATGAATCTAACTACAAGTCAACCTTGAAATAGTTTTAAGACAGTTCTAATTTTAACAGCCGAAAAAGTAACAATGAAAATGGTATATGAATCTTTTTATTTTTTCAGTTCTATTCAAATTTCAAGTCCAAATTTGAATAGAGATAAATACGAAAAAATTTGTTGGCTTAGCCACTTTTAGGCCCTGCTATTAGAATTTGGCCGCATTTTCACATGCGTTGGCAACGTAGTTATCAGTCCAACTAATTGGTATTTTTGTCCTCGACTAAAATATGAAATACAACTCCATCAATCGATCCTGGAGTTCGAAACCCCAAGAATGATTTATGAATTTTGAGGCCCTGCTTGTGTAAAATTCAGGAACGACTCCTGGAGTTCAAAACAAGGTATCGGAAATAATATGGAAGAATTCAAATCCCAGTAATTGTTAATGTGGTTTGAACCTCTAAAAGTTAAAACCCAGTAACCGTTACTAGGGTTTGAATCTATGAAGGTTTGAACAAAACCAAGTAATCATTGTTGAACCTATGAAACGGAATATTTTCTCCAATGGAACCTCTTTTGAACTCAAGGATAATATTCTGAAGTTTCTACTGGTAGAAATTAGAATCCCATGATTGTGTCATGGAGTTCAAAATCATTGCTGGGTTTTGAACCTATATTTGAATTCTAGTACAGTATGCTGGAATTTTACCTTTAAAAGTTCTAAAGTCCAACAGTGTATATTTTGGATTTTACCTATAGAGGGTTTTTCGGACTCCAATATATTATGCTGGAGTTTTACTTGTAGAATATTTGAATCCAGTAGTGCTTGTTGGTGTTGTCGGTGTGTTGCGAGTACTTTTGTCCAAAACATACCCGCATTTAAATGAAATGACTAAAATCTAATAACTTTTTAAATTGCGGTTAAACTATAATAGCAGGGGAAAAAGGTGGGTAATTACTATAATTACAAGATAAATAGGTGCACAGATTTGATTCAGCCCATAAGTTGTATATTTGCTGCTTAAGGTGCCAAAAAGATTCATGGCTCATTTACACCCTAATGAACATCCGTCTGAAAGCATTTAACAGTCTTAAGGTGAGAGAAGAATGAGGATGGGATTTCAGGCTAAATATTTACTAGCAGAAACTGTTAGTTTTATCTAAAAGGAAGAAACATTAGTGTATAACTTATTGTCTTTCCAAATCCGTTTCTGCAACTAAATGCAGCATTTTAACTATCAGCAGCATACATTTTTTACTAGTTTTAATTCATTACTTTGGTGCAGCTTCCATTTACCATGCTTTTCCATCAATCAACTGCACCTTAAATACAAATTATTTGAGATCAACTGTATGAATTTTTTTTGTATTCGTTCGATCATTAGAGCACTGTTGAAATCCTCATCTTTTGTCTGAGGTAGGAACCCTCACATAAGTGGATTCTTTTCTGCTCTTTCCTTACCCTAGGGGCAAATTCAAGTGCACTTCCACTTTCAAATGCTTTTAGTCTAAAACCTTAAAACTTGATACAAAGAGAAGATAATACTTTGATCATAGAACTAGTTGGGAGGGTGGAAAAGCATTCTCAAGAAACATTAAAAGCCAAAATAATCTAAAGTTATTATTACAAGCAATGGTACTAAAACAGAACGCATTTAACTTGTCCCATTACAAAAGAAAAGAGTTTCAGAGCGAAGCAGAGGTATTCTCAGAGATAAACTTGACAGAAACACTATTGACGCAGTGGCGTTCATCTGTTGGTGTCTTGAAACCTTCACCTTTGAAAACATGACCAAGGTGTCCACCACATGCTGCACAAGTGATCTCGGTCCTCCTTCCATCCGGATCCGGCTGCAAGTATACAGAGTTGGATTTCAGATTACAGCCATGAAACGGATAGGCGGATCAAGAGAAGAAGAAAAACGAAACAAATACTGCAAAATAGATCAAAGAACTCTTTCTGTTTGTACTTCCACTACTTGAAAGCTCAAAAGTTAAGTGAGTTTAAAGATGCTTCACATTCCATTTGATTTAAAACATGGTTCACTTCTATAGTCCTTGACTGAATAAATATATCAAATGTTTGATCAAACAAATCAAAATATGCAAGGAGAAAAAGGCAGCTACTTACGGAGCGATTTATTGCTCCCAGAAGACCCTCAAAGAAAGCAGGCCAGCCACAGCCAGAGTCAAATTTGGTTGTGGATTTATAGAGTGGAGTACCACAACCAGCACAATTGTAGATCCCTTCACCAAAAAACTTGTTATATTCTCCAGTGCCCTTCAACCTGTGAAATAATAATTTCTCAGCAATGTTGCATATAGAATTATGCCAAAAACTTTCAAGTGTAAGAGAGACAAAGAGTTTACTAGGTAAAGCAACTATACATCTACACATAATACTACAGCAATGTTGCATTGAGGATTGAAACAATAGGTGTTTGAGCTTTTTTTTAAACTTTAAAACAAGGCTTACATTTGTGCACCATCATGTTTTCCTCAATTTCCAAATGAAATACTATTAACTATATAATCAAACCATCCAATATTCCAATTGAACAGCTTCAAATCATCTAACTATATAATATACCAAATCAATATTCAATCAAATACTCTAAGAAATCAACCAAATGATATATATAGTATATAAGCAGTTGAATGTTGAATCAACGTTACTGCCTATTTGCCATATCTAGAAGTCAAAATTCATGAACAATATTTAGTCATAAATAAGAGAGAATTTCAATATTTGCTCTCAACTATCCAAGCCTTGGTGGACAGAGTAATTCAGTACATGTACCGATAGGAGGTATAGTAGGTGCCCTGGTGCAACCTTGTCGGAAACTACCGTAAAAATTTAAAAAAAATATATTTAAGGGTAGGAAGTGTACCATTTAACTTTTCTTGGTAATTGCACCATTTAATATATATACATATTTTTACACATTTTGCAACATAAGCTTGGTTACAAAGTTACCTAGTTGTAAAGGCAAGAGGCAGTAGGTATCAAATGTAAAAGTCGAGGGAAAATTGACGCAAACACCAACATTAAAAATATATTATAAATACATACAACACATAAACATATATGCTAGATCAATTATCAATCTAATTACAGTCTCAAAATCCCAGATAAAGGGAAAAAAAGAAGGAAAAGTTGAAGGAAGAAAGATATGGAAAAAAGGAACATACTCAGTTCCTTTCTCACGGAGGATACGAAACTGCTCAGGAGATAGAATGGCTCGCCATTCCTCCTCTGATTTCTCAACTTTGCTCACTGCCATTGACACAAAACTATGTTCTTGTTAACTCAACACAATTATATGGGAACAGAGTTATGTGATTAAGACAGATTACATATGGGATGGCTTTATATGATTTCTTGAAACAATGAATGTGGACGGAATTATAGACTGAAGGAATATTGCGATTTGATTTGCTGAGATCTATTGGGATCTTTCATTTTTACATGATTAAAGGGATACAATATGATTGGCTAATAATTAACTGAGATTTTCCAACTTTTTTCCATGTTAGCGCTTTAATATTAGAGCCGGTTTGGTAATATGACAGATGGAATATAGGGATCTTAACTAGGTTTGCGATGAACTCTTGTGTTTAAGTATTACTATGTTTACTTTGCGTAATTTGCATACGGTCCTTAATTACTTATTAAATCTCGTACTTTATGACTTTGATTGGATGGCAATTGGCAACCAATTGAATGTGTCCAAACTACCTCGACTTGAGTCCTGACCGAGAGCGAATTTGTACATTCGTAGATTAACAGCCTGTAGATTTTAATGCATACTGATTACAGCATGTTTGGTTAAACTGTCAAAAACTGATTATTTTGAAATATAATTTATTCAAAATATTTTTAAAAAAAATACTTTTGGAGAGTAGTAATTTATGTTTGGCCAATTCATTTTAGAGATACTTTTTGCAATATTTAATAAGTAAGTTGTGTTTAGCCAATCTTTCCAAAAAAATAATTTTGAGGGAAAAAGTGATAGTAAATATTCAATTACAATTAGTATTATTTGTATAAGAGATCACAATAAACATATTTTTATCTCAATTGAACTTATAAAACATAAAGTAAAATATATATTAAAATTTCAATTGGCATAAAATATAATTTTTCAAAGAAATAATATTGGGTATATGATATTACTTATTATTTACATAATAATTCAAACATATCAATATACATCGTTCAGTATAAATTTAAAATCTACTTCATGAATCTTATATAAAAGAAGAAATTTATTTATAGCAAAGAGACTATTTCAAAGAATAAAAGGAGAAGAAACAAAAATGATACAAAAAATAAGAAGAATGAAGAAATAAATGGTAGAAACAAAAAAAAAAAAAGTTAAATTAATGAAGAATAATTTGAAAAATATAAATTTTCGATAAGGATATTTTTGTCTTGAAAAAATTAATTTTCTACTTCTTGAAAAAAGTTAGAATTTGTAACTTCTTCCCAATTTTTGTTTTGTTTTGCAGGTGCTCAAAAACACTTCTCTATCTTGGACAAACACATTAGATTTCTAAAATAGTACTTTTATTGCCGCCTAGAAGCTTGATCTTTCACAACGATTTGTTTCACAAGGAAGAAATTATTTTCTAATTTCCTCTTATTTGGCCATAAGAATTGGGTAGGATGACCAATGTGGTTGACCTAATGTTTAATAGGTACATTGTCAACAACGTTAAATTTTCAGCATATCACACCAAGAAAAGGTGAGGAAAAGATCTACCAAGTTCAAGGAGTTGTATATGGCCTAAAGGAGTAGTTTAAAGATACACTATCAGAAAGGATTTAATAGCCGTCACAAAAAAACAATTCTTGTCTTTCAACAATATTTGGCAAGGGAATCATTTTCTTTATTTATTTCCTTGAACAGCAACGTAAAGAATCACATTATCAAGGTAGCAACTAGCAAAGTGCATACAAGAGCTCTAAGGAATTGCTTACGAAGACATGACCATAATTGATTCAAACACAAAGATCCTCCTCTATACAAATTTCACCAAGTCTAACATACTTTGATACTTCATACAACAATAAGTTCTTCCGCACCCAAGTAGAAATTACGTGCCATTCTAAAACTGACAAGTTTAGATGAACACAGTACATAGTTTGCTCTTTTTGTTGACACAAACCCATGTACACAAGCATCCGTATTAACACTTGGAGCTTGACAGAAGCAACGCCCCGGGGTAAAGAAGTCTATAAACCACCTAGGTAATCTTTGATCGATGTTCCATGCACAGGAATGGAAACTGAGTAGCAACCAAATGAAGCCAGAGGGAATTGTTTACAAGGGAAGGGACACTGATTCAACTAATAAATGAATGCACAGTCCATCTACCTGTCATATTCAGTCAAATGTATAGAAGGGTATAGCATACACTATCAGTTTGTGCATCCACTTATGCATTGCTTCTTATGTGTATTTACCTAACCATCGAGGACTATGAAAACGATGGATGTTACCATTTAAGGCACATCTACAATGGGGGGAATGCGTGGAAACCCTTGGAAGTCTTTTCTTTGTTCAACCCCTGCAAGAGAAGTACAAGCAAGTGATCACTTGAAGAACAATATGCAGATAAAGAACAGAGCAAAATAGGGAAAGAGTGAAACTCACAAGCTAGATGAAACTACTACTTTGTGGTCTAGTGATGAAACAGGATGACAACAGCTAACATCAGAGAATTCACTCATTACAGACCGATAACCTTCCGAAGCACACGGAGAGAAATATATCTCCGATGTTTCTTTCTGCGTGTTTGTTGTTTTCCCTCCATTCCATTTGGCTGTGACACCACCACCTGACTATCCCAACTTCAAAATATATTAGCTAATCCAAGAGTAAACAGAAACATGGAAGTAATCTTGAATCATGGAAATACCAAAGGCAAGAAATTGCAAGCATGAATTTGGGAACTACTTCATTAATTTGATTCTTTCTTAAAGAAGCTGGTAGATCAAATACATAATCCCTCCTTCCCGCTGCGGAAAAGGACACTATGAGAGAAGAAAGAACTAAGTCCTTTAATATTAGCTACAGATGCTCCTAGAGTCCATCTATCAAGTTCCTAATACTTCCTACTAACACTAGGAATATACTGATTTACACAATGAAAGCAAAGTAGAAATATGCAAATTCCTATCCAGAGAACTAGAAAAGAAACAACAAAATTGACAAATAAGAATCAAATGGTTCATACATTGGTTAAGGCTTTAATATGTACAATGATGATTGTTATATCATCTGTCCGGTTTTCATGGTCTAGCCACAGTTTGTAAGATTCTCCAGCAATGGCTGAACATGCATCCCTAGGATCTGCACATCTATTTACCTGCACAAGAAATAAGAGTTAAATAGAAAACTAGGCAGAAAATGTTAACAATGACTTGACAAATGGTGGATGAGATCAGGTAAAAGGTATCTGCTCATTTATTTGAAGATAGCTCACAATGATTTAAATTAATGGTCAGAAAACACATGATCCGGCGTTAATACAAAACTGCCTTTTCAACATTGTTCCAGACTTCCAGTGATTTGTTGGCATAACTAGCACTAATCACCTGTATACGAAGTGCTACCAGTGTTGTCAAAGTGAAGAGTACAACAACAACATACCCAGTGTAGTCCCACAAGTGGGGTCTGGGGAGGGTAGAGTGTACGCAGACCTTACCCCTGCCTTTAAAAAGGCAGAGAGGTTGTTTCCGGTAGACCCTCGGCTCAGGAAGGGGAGAGGGGAGGGGCAATAACAAGCAAACCGATCTGACAACCGAAGCAAAAACACAAAACTAGCAATAAGAGGGAGCATCAAGGTAGCAGTGGCTGTAAGCGCAAAGCACAATTAATGCATTTAGCAAAGAAAGGCACAAATGAAAAGAAAAAAAATACTTATATACACACACATAGTGAAAGAAAAAAAATACCTACAAGGACAAAAAAATATATGGAAAGAAAATTTGTAATAAATTGAAATATATGAAGTGAATCACGTCAATCTAAGTCCAGAAACCATCTTATATTCTACAATTCAATGTACATATGCAATTTTAAGTTTCTAATTTTATCTTTAGCTTGATTTTTCAAGTCAAGAAATTTAGCTAGTTTTATCATACTAAATTTCTTGTTTCCTATCTTTAATTATTAACATATTCATTAAAAATGTTTTCTGATATAGCTCTTTAGAAGCAGAGTCTGATATGTGGTGCACGCCATATCAGCTTGGTCCTTGCATCAGAGTATCACATGAAGCGAAGCAAAACACCTGGTTTGATGTGCTCCTAGTTTCAGAACACACCTCAAGCGAACCTTTAACAAGGCTAAAAAGCCACATAACTATAAAAAGGATGCGTAGAGTTGGTCCTCCATCAACAAGACACAAAGCATATCAATAGGAGAAGATCAAAAAGGTGGAAAGAAGTGGGAGGAAAAGAAAAGCAAGGTTTTCAAGAACTTCCTCCTGCTTCTAAATAGATAATAGGCTCAGCATTGAAATGAGATTAACAAAAACTGTGATGTAAATGCAAAACAATTCATCTGATTTAATTTATCTACTGTTTCTTTGCTGGATTCGATAGACAATTCATATATCTGGGCTTCAAGTTCTTAGAGGAGAATTGTATGATAGATGAAAATGTGGCACATAAGGGAGTGCTATGTCATCAAAATATATCTATCAAAGTCAAAGGTAAATTCTACATGAGACCATCAATATTATAATGGAGTGAGTGTTGGGCCTCTACGTCCCAACATATTCAAAAGATGTTTTTTAGAAATGCAGATATTAACCAGATGTACCACAAGATTAGAAATCAAAATTTTGACAGGAGGTACAAGCACCAGACATAGAGTATAAAATAAGAGAAGTTCGCCTAATATTGTTTAGCCATGCTACATAGACCTCCAAATGCACCGGTCTATAGGTGCAACACAATGATGATTGAAGGTGGACTTAAAATCACAAGGGAAAATTACTTTAAAAAAATCTATAACCTCTCGAAATCCAAGGAAAGTTAGTGAAGAATAGAACAAAATGGAAGTAAATGATGCATGTAGCACATACCAACTAGTTGAGACCAAATTTAATTGAGATCGTTTTTTTTTTGCCAGGATTATAATTTGCAATATGTAAGCAATCTCTAACTTCACAGTATTATTGACTATTTGAATAAAACAGGTCTAGATTGAGCTGGGTGGATATAGATGATTCATATAACTAACTCCCTAACTGGATTAAGACTGAGGTGCAATCTAATAGTTTCTATGTTTTCTCATTAGATACTAACTTATCTTCAGCTAAACTACATGGAGTTACTAACTACTCAAGAAATTGTAATGGGCTTATTCTGTACACAAAATGCCTATGCGGTATGCAGCCTTACCCTCACATTTTCACAAAGAAGCTGCTTTAACACAAACCTGTGACCAAATGGTAACCAAAGGAGCAAC